GTGAACAAAAAAGTGCCAACAAAACCCGGTCTAAACTTTAAACCGTATTACACAACATGGGAAACGGTCTAAAGTTCGGTTCGGGGCATACACCATGAAAAACAGTGCCTATGCAGCGTTGTCAAGCCCTCGCAGCCACTGACGTGAACTTAAACACCGAAACAAAATATAAGACGGTGATACAGAAATCAGTGATGTGACGTGATGTGCGACCGCCACCGACGTTCATGTGGACGACCACAATGTCAAAAGAAAGAAGCTGTTAAAAACTCATAAAGACGCTGCGAAGCCAAGATACTGCGTCAGAGATCTATGGTTTTTAAACGCACCGTTAAGAAACCCAAGCATAAAATAAAAAATGGAAAAATTTTACTAATGGTCGATGCTTTTCGTTGTGAACACCCCCCAACATGATCAGGTACGAATAATTTAAAAATTCAAATTAACCTTCTGGTACAACAATAATGTATAACTGACATAATCGCCTGTGAAAACAGCGTGTCATTCAGTCGAGAGTTGAAGTTTTTCTTATCAGTCTAATAAATGCATGCCAACTTCGACTTATATCAAGGGATGAAGAGTATTTATTGCACAGACGGCAAATTCGTGTCAAAATATGAGGGTACTGTTTGATTATCCGTATTAATTGCTGCTCCATCAATTACGGACATTCTCGTTTTGATGACGTCATTTCGTTTAAGACTGACGAAAGATACAACAGCGCAATATTCAACATGAAAATCAGCTGCAAATTGTCGATAGACGCTCCTTCATCCTCATCATCATCTTCCATGGCCGCTTCTCTCTTCAGGTCGCGGAGGCAGACGCGTCAGACAGAACTTCCAACGTTCCCGATCCTGTGCCAGAGTCTGAGATTCAGGAAAAGACAACTGGAGTCTCGAACAGGCTCCTTCCATATATTTGCACCCGGTTAATCTTGTCTGTCCCACGGGTTTTCTGCCGGTCGGTTGGACAAGAAACAGTTGCTTAGCCGTCCTTTCTGAAGGCATTCGCAACACATGCCCAAACCATCGCAGTTGTGACTTCTCAATCTGGAGAAGCAGAGGTTGTACACCAAAGCTCTCCCGAATGTATGCATTTCGGCGCACCATATCTAGATGCATAAGGCCAGGCGACTCCTCTAAGCATTTCAGCGGCTTATA